GGAGGAGAGAGGATGAGAGGAGGAGGAGGGCGGAAGACGAGGTGAGGCGAAGGCAAGCAGCGGAGGGGATGAGCAGGAGTTGGAGACTGAGTAGGAGGAGTGAGGGAGGAGGAGGAGGAGAAGACGGAGGAGCATGAGGAGGATGAGCAGGAGTTGGGAGGAGGAGGAAAAGGATGAGGAGCTGGAGGAGGAGGAGAAGGAGGAGGAGCACGAACGGAAGAGGAGGAGGAGGAAGAGGAGAAGGCGAAGGAGGTGGATGAGGAGGAGGAGGAGGAGCAAGCAAGCAAGACCTTGGCAGCTGGTGTCTCTCGCTGCGTGGCTCACCTCTTAGGGGTGAGGCCTGTAGCCCTGACGGTAGCTGCTGGTAAATTCAATGCGCATCTCGAGCACGCCTGCGGGACTTTATAGCCCATCGCGGACTTTCAAAGCCCGCAGTAGCACGAAGGCGCACCACACTTCATTTAACTCGCTGTGGGCTGAGGCTTAGAGCGCTTGGGCCCATCACCGCAACCTCGGGGCTGACGGGTGCGGAGGGAGGCCCCAGGGAATTCGGGGCCGTCGAACGCGAAAACAGTGCATCGATCCCGTCGGACCGCTAGAACAGTAGCTGTGTGTGCGCCTTTGTATATCTAGGTCGTCCGTCCTCACTCCACCCCCCCTCTCACACTCCACTCACTCCCCCCCCACACGACCCCGTCAGCAACTATCCAGCAGGAAAGGGGTATCATAGAGAGCCTTTGCTGTCTTCAGAGTCAAACTCCAAGAAATATAGATCTGCTCCCTTGCTCATTGACTCCAGCAGTCGACAAATTCATCTGTCTTGCCGATCTCTCTGCTGCTAAGGCGTATGTGATTTACCTCTCGGTCTGCTCATTCTCGCCAGGAAACGGTCCCGAGACAGAGAGGACAGAAACGAAAACAACACGAATCGAACGCTCAAACAACATCCAGCGCAGGAAGCCCAAGATGCCCTCAGCTCTCACCGTCAAGCTCGAGAAGGCGTGAGCCTGCATCGATAGCCGTCTCATCGCTTCATCTCCCTTGTCTCTTGAGATCTCGGAGCAATTGACGAGCTCGTTCGCTGCCTGCCTGAGCCATGTGTCGTAAGCCGTCTAAATCGATTGTTCCTGCACCGCTGCCTGAACCGCTCGCTCCAGTGCTCCTGGTTGTGGGCTCCCTATCTTCACGATGCCGCCGCTGGCGACCAGCCCCTTGATGATGTGCAACCGAATCTCGGCGATCGTGGCGTTGGACATCTCCGACTGGTCGCCTGTCTTCTCCTTGTACCTCTGAATCAGCTGGGGCCTGTGAAACGGGCTGATGGCAATCGGGCTCAGCATGACGTGCAGCTTGGCCTGGTCTTCCTTCTGGTTGTCCTCGTTGTAAGTCTTCTTGATGCGGAAGTAGCGCACCATGTCGTTCAACTCCTCGCGGTCCATCGCCGTCATTAATTTTGCGAATGGCTCGAGGATCCCCTTAGTATCGTCTGGCAAGACCTGCATCTTCGCGAGCATGGGAATAGTACACCCGAAAATGTGTAGACGCGGTGGTCCCAGGTCTTTGCGCTTCTCCTCGGTACTCAGTCGATGATATTCTTGGCCCATCCTCATGCCCTCTGTCGCCACCTGGTGGGTCATCGGGATGATGAGGCAGTCCAAAAGCGCCCCCATCAGAATGCGCAGCGTCTGCGTGTTGTTGAGCGTCAGCTTCTCTA